CCATTTAAGTCCAGTTCCTTAACCACCACGCCACCTGCTGGCCCCTAATTTTGCATTTTAATTATATAGAACATTTACATGTTTCCAACATGAAAGCCATACAAATGAGGTGTTACTACCATTTTACAGGTGAGAAAACTGAGGCTCAGAGAGACCAGTACTCGCCCCCAGAACACAGTAAGTAGTCCTCATCAGGAGATGGGGAAAGAGGCTGCAGGGAGTCTCCTGGTGGAGTGCTTTTTCTCCAGAAGTGGATTTGAATACATTTGGGGTGAAGCTGTTCCATTTCTTTTCTTTTTTTTTAAATCCTTTTTTTTTTTTGGAGAGGTTTTTGCTATAGGGCGCATGCACTCGCCAGACAGACAGAGACAGAGACAGAAAGCAAGAAATCACCCCCTGGGGTATGACCACACCGCAATCCCTTCTTCCCCTTTCTCCTGTCGGGATCTTGGGCACGCACGCACACACGCCCTGCGCGAGTTTAAGCCACCAGGTCCAGGACTTGAACTGCTGTCGACTTCATAGGAGTCCAGTGACATAGCCATTATGCCAACTGCAGGTCCCTGATTTATTTTTTAAGAATTATTTTTATTTAACTTTATTCATGATTATTATTTTCCAGTTTGATCAGAGAGAGGGAAAGTGAGAAAGCAAGCCACCAGGTCCAGGATTTGAACCATTGTCGACCATGTAGGAGTCCAGCACCTTCAACCACCATGCCACCTGCTGGCCCAGGGTGGGCCAGTTTCTTCAGCTGTTCTTCGGAGAACAGGCCAGAGGTCTCTGAGCACATGGGTCTGTGCTTTCCAAGTGAGAGTCTGACCAGTGCTGGGGCCCGCTGGCTCCTGCTAATGCCACAGGGACCTCCCTGTGACCCGCAAGAGGCTCCATCCTGCAGGTCCCACTGCTGCCTCCCTCCCTCCTCACCCCCTCTGACTGGACACCCTGTGGCTGCAGGAGCCCTCAGAGCTACACCCAGCTACTCTGGCCCCTCCCTCGCCTGGGCTGGGGTCCCGTGCTTCCTGGCCCCTTTCAGCCGCTATCAAAGCCCCCATTCTCTGACACAGCTGTGCCAGCATTCATTGCCCCCCTCCCTCAGTCCCACTCCCACGTCCCCATGGCAGAGGAGCCAGGTGCCTGGGCGATGTGCAGGGCCTCAGAGAGGACCTCAGATGTGCAGGCCCCACCCCCAAGTCTGGGAGAGTGGGGGCAGCTGTCCAAGGGGCAGGAGGACAGCCTATCCCAGCACCCTCTGTGCACAGAACCAGTGAGGCAGGCCCAGGGAGAACTCTGGAGACAGGAGCTCCAGTGCAGTCACTGGAGGGGAGATTCTGTTTCCTCAGCCTGGGTCACAGCCTGGGCTTTGGCCTGGATAGAGGGTGTTGGGGGATTGGAGGCAGGAGATTGATTGTTCTCATCCAGAGTGGCTGGAAAGCTCCCCAGGGCCCAGGAGACTGGGAGGCAGCCAGCTGGGCTGCACGTGGAAGGTGCCCACTCTCTCCCTCTCCTCTCTCCTCCTCCCTCTTTTTCTCTCCCCTAAACGAGGCAGTTGGGGACTCCAGGCAAAAATCCTGGCCTGGGAGTCAGGAGGCATGGTGTCTGATCACAGTTCTGATCTGTGTGACCCTGGACACTGGTTCGCCTCTCAGGACTGTTTCCTTGTCCAGAAGCTACCTAAGGTTACCCGAGACATTCTCCTCCTAGGACTGAGACAGGAGGTTCTACTCGAAATCCGATTTTCACTTTCCTGTTCCCATTGATCCCATTTGTGTTCATCCAGTCCCTAATCTGGGGGTGGGGGTGGGGGCTAGCCAGAGGTAGGTCTTGTTTTTTGCCTCCTTTCTGAAGGCAAATAGAAATGGGGGCCTACAAGTGGCATGAACTCCCACATGGCCAACCACCGTTCGAGTACCGGACCTGGTGCCTTGGTTTCTCACTTTCCCTCTCTCTCTGTCCCTCTCTGGTCAAATTAGAATAAATAAATTCATTTAAAACAATAAAAAAAAAAAAGGTTGGGCTTGAAATATATATATAAAATTTTAAAAAAACAAGTGGGAGAGAGTTGGAACCAGCAGTTGGCGTAATGGCTATGTTACTGGACTCCCATGTAGTCGACTGCAGTTCGAGTCCTGGACCCGGTGGCTTAAACTCACGCCAGGTGCGTGTGCGTGCGTGCCTAAGATCCCTAGAGGAGAATGGAGGAGAAAGAATTACAGCATGGCCATTCCCCCGGAGGGTGATTTCTCGCTTTCTGTCTCTCTGTCTCTCTCTGTCTTTCTGGCGAGCACATGCGCCCTATAGCAAAAACCTCTCAGGGAAAAAAAAAAAAAGAGAGAGTGATATGGCCATGGGTCCAGATACAAGACTCCTAAAGTGTCCAGCAAGCCCCTGCCAGTTCAAGAGTAGGGTAGACGTCAGTATACATTTTCCCAGCAGGAGAGCAGAGACCTTAGAAAAATTTAGGGGAGGTTCTCATGGTCTCCCCTTGAGAACGCCTCAGGAAAGGGCTCTATTCTCAAATAATGAGCCCTTCCCCAACTCATAAGGAAATGGCCCCCAACCTCCGGGCCAGATCTTATGCAGGTCAGGATGCACGCACCCTGCACGTGTGTGCGTGTGTGTGTGTGTGTGTGTGTGCGTGCGTGCGTGTGGAGGGGGACTGGAAGAGAAACACAACCAGGTATGGCTGAGCCCAGGCCACGAGCCAGGGGTTTCCCTTACCCAGCCCAGGGGCCGGAAAGACCACCCAGTGCAGTAGCTATTATTCAGTCCTTGTCCAAAAGAGAAGTGTTTTCAGAGAAACTCGGGCCTTTCTGGAGTTTGCCACCGCAGATGGCAAAGCTGGAGCCTGACCTCAGCCTGGAATCCAGTGTCCTCCCTTCCAGGGCAGCAGCTGCCTGTCCTCTCACCACGTCTGCTGTCCCACCAGGGGCCTGCCTCTTGGAACAGAGTGCCTGGTACCAGCTCTCATCCACACCCTGGTGCTGCTGGCCTTGGTCAAGGTCGGACTCCCTCAGGCACGGAAATGTGTGTCCATACTTCTGGTCATGAGGGAAGGTGGTGAGGAAGGTCACTTTCTCTGCCTTCTCTGGTCACAGCCAGGTTTCCCTAAAGCAAGAACTGTGGTTACATCCGAGCCACCACTGGGATTGCATTTCAGCCACTCAGTTGCCTGGCCCGGCCTGGTTGGCCTCAAGCCCTGTGAGCTCGTGTGGAGGTGAGCCGGTGAGCCGGTCGTCGGGGCAGGCTGGACGCATGTACCCCAGCTGTGACTGTCCCGGGGGGAGGGGATTCTCTTTCAGCTTTGAGATGCAAAGCCTGGGATGAGCAAAGGGAGATCTTAGGGTTACCCAGGTGCTGCCCAGACCTGTCTCCCCAAACCTTCACTAAAGGATTTGGGATCGCATTCCCAAGGCCTAAAATAGTGCTGGTCCATAGTTGGCAAGCAATGAATATTTGTTTAGTGAAATGAGTAACTGAGGTTTCTTCCTTCCCAGACGCTCCCAGGCCCCGTGCTCCGTGCTCTGACCCCTTCCGTATTGTGTCTCTGCTTAGGGCATTTCTTAACCAGGGCGGAGAGGAGAGACCTGAGACCTCTCCATCTACCTACCTCAGGTCTTCCTGGCCGGGCCCTGCAGTACATGGGTCTCTGGAGAGGGGTCAGAAGCCTCCCTCTAGACCCTCAAGGATTTGGGGAGTTATTTTTCCCATTGGGGTCTAGAGGCCTTTGGGCACAATCACCACTGGAGTGGAAGCCCAGGCAGTGGGAACAGGGAGTGTGGCAGCCAAAAGGGGGCGGTCACATTTCCCAGGGGGACTTAGGCTCCAGACTAGATGCAAGGCCAAGGTCTGCCCTGAGACCACGTGACAGCTGTGGGTGCTTCACGTGGGGTCATTCCAGGGTGCTGTGGGACGTGAAGATCAACTCTCCCAGCCCCCAGTCACTTGCACAAGCTACCCTTGGTGCCACCCCTGCTATCCAGGGGAGCGAGTCAGGCAGCTGGCTGTCCTGCCCACAGGCTCTGCCAGGGGCTTTGCCAGAAGGAGGAGGGCAGAGAAGGGGGAGGAAGGAACAGGAGCCAGGGAAAGCAGAGGCTCTGGAGCCGAGGGGGCAGGCGGCGGGTGTCATTGGTATTCTGGGCGCTGAGGAGTCCCCGATGTCTGGGCAGCACCCAAGGTCCACCCCCTGGCACCAGGCTGTACACTTAGCAGCGACAGCCCCCGCCTGGAGGCCGCCAGCTCAGGCAACGCCTGCATTTTGCACATTGGTTTGCATGACTAGTAATGTCCCCTCACAGAGCCAGCAGCCCCAACCCGAGCTCTAGTGGATTTCCTGACCTGCTTAGCTTAGCCCAGGATTCTGCTGTCTAACCTCCACCCCTCCGGCTGCAAAGTCAGCTCCTCCTCTGTGCAGAGTGGGGGCGCCACAGGAGGCAAAACCGAGTCAGAGCTCCTTCCAGGGACGGGGTTACAGTCATCTGCACCTATGGCCCTGGCCTCCAAAAGTCGTTTCCGTTTCCTCTCCTTCCACAAGGAAAAGCCTTCCATCTTCCCTTCTTGCCTACCTTCCCTACCGAGCCCCTGCCCCTCCCGCTCGGGCTCCGGCCAGCAGGAAGTCCTGCTGATGGTCTAACTTGCATCCTTCCAGCTGCAACGCCATCTAGCTCGGCGAGCGCTCCCTCTCCGCCGCTCCCGCCCTCCCTCTCTGCGCTAAGTCCTCGGGCTCCTCATCCCGGAACGATGTCCTACTTCGCTTGTCCTTGTCGCCGCTGCCGCTGGGAAGCGACGCAGAGAAGGCAGCCAGTCCCGTGACCGTCCGGAGCCCCCCGAGTTGCCGGCCAGGAGGCGGGGGCAGTAAAAAATGCTAAAAAGTAACTACAGTCCACTGGAAATGTCGGCAAGAAACTTCAAGCATTGACAAGCAAGTTAAAACAAATCTAGTGCTTCAATGTATCAGGCATTTTTCTGAGAGTTTTATGGATATTAACTGAGATCAGTCACGAGCCGCGGACCCGGAGGAGACCCCCGGAGACGGCGGCAAACTTCTCAGGGCCTCCCCGCACACTCCAGCCCTCGGTAGGTGAGTGCCACCGCAGCCCGGTCGCCCAGCCCTGGGAGGGAGAAAGAGAGGGGAGCTTCCGCGGCCGTCTGGTGGTCACCCCCGCCGCGCAGCAGGCTCGGGTGCACCCCGCTCGCCGACCCCTGACACCTCAGCTAGTCCGCTGCCGACCAGCCTGGGCGCCGCTGGTGCTTGCCGCTGCCTCTGGTCTGCATACTCCCAGCTCCGCCCCTGGCACCCGGTTGCCGCTTGCAGTCTGCCCAGCAGCCCCCTCGGGTCCGGGCCGTGGGAACGCCCCTCTGGGTCCTGGAGTCTTTCCTGCTGCGCGCTCCGATCCCAGCGCAGCGGCCAAGATTTCCGACCTTGCCCTGGGCAGCGCGGCGCGGTCGGGGTCAGCCCCTGACTCGGTGCCTCTGTGTGGGCAGCACGGAGGAGAAGCGGCAGCCCTCTGGGGGGCAGCGTCTGTGCCGGCAGGATCGCCTTCGGGAGCCGCCTTGGGCGGTAGGTACCCGCTCTGGTGCGGAATCGCAGCTCGGCCACTCACCTGCTGTGTGACCTTGGACTAGGGTTCCCCTTCTGCAGGACGGTGGGAGCAGAAACAGTAGTTTTCTTGCAGTTGAGGCTATCCCTGGGGGGCCTGGCTTAGGTAGTCGCGGTCAGCTTAGCCTGAGTCAGGGACCACGCCTGCTTCCTTCCTGGCCTGCCAGGGGCAGGAACGCCCTCCGCCAGGTATTTCCATAGCCCCTCCCCTGAGCGCAGCTCGGCCCACCTGGCTCTAACAGGGCAGCCAGGCACTATTCTGTTGGCACCGTTACCTGCATGGCCTATCCCAGATAATGCCAGTAGGGTCAGGGAGCAGAGGTAGTATTACCGTGCCTGCTTGTTCCAGCGACCTCGCCACCCACCAGGACCTCCTCCACGTTTAGACTGTATGAAAGGGGACCTGCAGTCGGCCGGCTGGTGATGTTGCCGCTAGAATGATTACTTGTGTTTCAGAGAGTAGGACTATTGATGCGATCGCTGCAATTACTCCTACGGACCCTGCAGGGAGATTGTGTAGGTTCCTGTCAATCCTCGCACAGCCACGGCAGGATGGCTAAGAGCTTCCCTCCTGCCGCTCCAGAAGCTCTGGCCTCCTGTGCCTTCCCAACGACCCCACTGGCATGGGCTCTCAGTTCCTATGGGGCAGACTTGAATGGCCAGCGGGTGGGCATTCAGCTCGGAGGCGGTGGGTGTGAGCGTGTGCACCCATGTGTGTGTGCATTCTTGATTCCCTGTGGACGGGGTCTGAGAAGCTGTGCAGGAGATGGATGTCCATGGTCAGACAGGAATGAAGACAGAAGGAGAGGAAAGTTTCCTGAACAGCTTGAGAAACTCAAGACCAGGGCAGAGATCCAGGAGCAGGAAACAGCTGGAGAGGGACAGCGTGCATGACGGG